GCCCGGGAATACCAGCATCCATTAACAGCATATGGTGAATGACAAATTCACATTTCCAAATATATCTATAGACTAGCTACTTTGTGTATTGAAATCAATATGTTTCCTTTTATAAAAAATATTACTATAAAAGGAAATTCTCCAATATTAATGTTATGGGTTGATTAAAGAGAACAATATGACGACACTAGCATAACAAGCAAATAATTTTCAAAAACAAGTTTGAAAATAATTAAATTTAATATGCAGTATATTGTATATTAAATTTAATTATCACAAGAATATATCTTGGATCAAGAATGTCTAGGCATAGGAGCATTATTGTTTTTATTGTCCGGTGTGGACAATGGGTTGGATAATTGCAGATTGCAGACCAGGCGTTGCGTGGGCGGTGAGCCAGATCCTGTTATCTTCTATCTGGGACCGCTAATAAGAGACCTCTGCTTTGTGAATTATAAATTTATTACTTAAAAGAGGATAACTTTATTTAAACATTAATTTGGTTAGACAGATCATACAAATATAGATTAATTCTCTAACAATACTGTCAACTTGTTTAACGAGCTAACAATTTTTTGACGGCTCCGTGGCGCAGAGGCTTAGCAATGGGTTGTAGCGCTGGGGGCTGCGGGTTCAAATCCCGAAAAGTATGTGTTTGGCCTTTTTCCGGGTTTGGATGTTTGTCCTTGTGCAATTTATGTTTGTAAACTGCCTCCAGAGAAAATCGTAGAGTGGGAATAACGTAATTATTAATTAGAAAAAAAAAATTGGCCCAAAAAGCTTGGCGTGCTCAGCAGAGCGGGACAGTATTTCATGCCGGCACACCGCTTGCAACTTTAAAAGGCACAGATTCGGTCTCACATGGAGTACTGTTCTCATGTTTGGGCCGGGGCTAGATGAATCTTCCTACTCGCCGCTGCATCTAGGCTTCGAAGACCGGCAGGATTGCACCAATAACGCGTTTGCCTTACCGTTTTATAGACTCGAGCGCCTCATCTGGCTCACTGCCACCCGTCTAACGGAGGATGCGATGCGATCACACTGCGATCGTGTCTCTGTCAGGGGGAGTTTTGACAGCACCATCCTGTACGGTCGCCCTTAGGAATCTAACCTTACCTAGCTAACAATAAGCAATTTTTTGTACTTACAAGAATAATATATGTCTGTGTATATCTTTTATTAAATCTTTGATATCATGGAAACCCTACATTAAGGATATGGCTACGTGGATTGATATATCATCAAACGTTGACGTTTAAGGGATATGGTCAGTTTTAGCTGACCTTTATGAAATACAACCATTTCATTATATGGTGGGCCGCGTCATGAAGTGATCAATTAAGTGAGCAATTATATATAACTTGTTAATATTGGTATATTGCGTATCAAGAAGGGTATTTCTTATTACTTCTCAGGGGTGACAACTCATGTTTTGCTTAAAGTTGGTTGCAGGTGTTCATGAGCTGAAGCATCCACTTTTAGAACTTGGTGGAAACAAAGTTCTTTTCTTTCTATATTATTAAAAGTAAAGTATCTAAGCCTATTGATGGACACTTATTATTATAATATGTAATAGCTTTTTTATGCATACCCTAAAGTGGAAAGTGGAAACCCTTTTTAACTGACTTCAAAATTCGACTGTATTATTTATGTGTTACCTCAGAACTTATTTCAAATGCACAAATTTTTTAATTATACCACTTGTATTGTTTCTGAACATATAGGTAGTAAGTGCAGATGAGTTTATTTTCATACCTTTACTTGCCTACAAAAATACTTTACAATTTTAACGTTTTCATAAGTTTACTTTTCAATTTTTAGTTTTGATAAGGCAACTGCCCTAGAAGTAGTGTAGGTAATGTTTTTTGAATGTGGTCGTATGTACATATATCTATTTCTTTAGCACGCTCTGTAGCATAAACGGCTTGATGGATTTTAACAAAAAATATGAAGTGTCGTTAAATGTGGAATCTGTTGAAATGGCATAGGTACCTATATACAATTTTTCTTTTTTCATTAATCTTTTTACGCCGTCTAGTTTTTCTATTTTAACCCAGTTTTAACCATGGGGCTTGTTAGTTTTTATTCGACGCAATATGTGATGACACCACCTATGCGCTTGTAAGAGATACATATCCAGTTTAGAATTGTGGAAATTGGTAATAAATAATACTCGAAACGTTGTGTGAACAAAAGGTAGCGAAAACTCGTTTCGATAGTCTCCGAACTAGGTTCGGCCTTGACTAACACGTGTGACAGGCTCCGTAGGATTTACCCTCGTATTGGTTTATACTGCTGTTCAAGTGGAAAATAGTTATAGCTTTAAGTATCTTAAAGTTTAGAACTCATTTATTTAAAAAGTATGTCTAAGTTTTAAATTATTCCTTAGCTATTATCATCAAATTTACCTTTCTTTCTAGTCAGGTAATCTTTTGCAATTTTCTTACTTCTATCTAAATCTTTTAACATGCCTAAAAATATGACACTGAACATAATAGCATCATACTAATTTCTATAAAGAGGTATCATGTCATAACTTACTTAGATTTAGTGTCTCAGCGTGGTAGTCACACTGCTACTGCATAAGGGCTGCAGCTCAAATAGGTTGGCAAGACCGCAGAATGACCACGGGCATTCTCACAGTATACTAGTTTAAATATAAATTAAAAAAGTTTGCTGTGTTTTGTACGGTAGTTGCAGAAAATCATTATTTCTTAGTTATCAGGGGAGACAGCGCAAATGAATTAAATTTTATTTCGAGAATAATGTCTTTGTGCTTTAGTATTTAATTACTTACATCAGGTGTGAACTGTATGATTGTTTGTGACTCATAATTATTTTAATAACTAAACATATCTGTAGCCACGATAGCTTCGAGACTGAGCACTTACTGTAGGTAAGACTAAGAAGTTAATGTAATTAGTATGATCACCGCTGGCACCACTGTGATTGTTTAATAGCTTTTTTTTGTCATTGGTTTAGCTAGTGTTTTGCGGTGAAGAAAAACATCGTCAAGATACCTGACCTGCGTATCCAAAAATTTAGTGTTTTGTGGAGACAGGTGAAATCCGCGGACACGCATTTGGTCTTTACGGCGGATATTTCTCTGCTACAAACCTCTCTCATAAAGAAGAACCTTTGTTTAACATTACCTGTATTAGGCTATTCCTAACTCGTTCGTTCGACGTTCTCATTTTTTTTTCTTTTCCTATAATAAATACTCTGTAACAAATTCTATCATAAAAATATGCATCACATATTATATGAATTGGAATTGTCAACATGTAAAAGTAAAAATAACAGCCTCTTTCTCGTTTCTTAGAGAAACACAGGTACGCCTCCTACCTAACAGAACAACAGAAACGAAATTCCACCGTGTTATTGTTGCGAAAGGAGACTTCACAAGCTTTGGATTAATTTTGATCAGAAGTAATAGGTAGTACGACAATTTTGGCACTGCCTCAGATTCTCATGTACAGCTGAAAATTTTCCGAAAAAGAATTTATAGTCCCATCAGGTCTGCGTATAGGTTCTAGTGTTACACACAAATTCATAATGCTTTAAATAAGCTAAGAGCAAAAAGACCTCAATTGGCAAAAAATTGTTGACCTAGAAAAAAATCAAATCTTTGAAACAACATAAGCTTTAAACTTAATAATATAGGTATGTACGATTTCTTCGTTGTACAGTTATTTTCCTAATCAGTCAAGTAAACCGCTATTCTCTATCGCTGATATTTATTTCTTAATTCAGATTTCGTGTTAAGAAAATTTTATTGATATATTAAGTATGTATTTAGGTATATATATAATATAGATATAAAACAATGCTTTCAGTTTTTAAATTTTCGTTTAAAGCGTTAGCATAGCATCCTGCTTGAATGTTATGCACAAGGAATATGGTTTTATTAACTAGTTTTCAGCATCTTCCTGATAGAACTAAACATTATAAAAAACTACGGCTGCCAATCAGCCCGACAAGCGTGGCAACTATAGCATAATCCCCCTATAAGTCAATCTGTGGTGGGAGGCCTACGTTCAACAGTGGTATTTTATAAGCAGTAATGGATGAATAGATATCAATTTTAGTTACTAATAGATCTAATGTGTTTGACGTTGGTTATTTTAGGCAAATAATCGTAATAATAAAAATTTGCAGCGTGATTTATTTCCTAGCGTGCCGGAAGCTAGTGGTGTTTTTATCGATACCCTTACGTCCCACGGTGGAAGCAAACAGTTAATAAATACCTAATTGAAATAAATGGTAGGTAGGTATAACAAAATTATACGCTGTTTAAAAATGCTAAGGTTATTTTGTGTAAAAAAATGTTATGAATGATTCTCAGCACCTTTTACACTAATTTATAAAAGAACATTATGCCTTATTTATGAACAAAACAATTGAATGTTTGACACTAAGTCCTGTTTCCAAATCTGCGTTTTTAAAGCTAAGAAAAGTAAATAAAGCTCACCTCAGCTATATAGCACAAAGATTTTGAAGAATCGCACAAACTGTTAGAATGCTTCACTTAATGGTTCCAATTGCACAATTGTCACACTAAAGATCTATTTAAAATTAAAGTTATTTGATTTCAGATGTTATCCTACAAGAGCGGACGGATCACTGTTGTTCGAATGAACTAACCGGCGTGTTTCACTCCCATCGGAGCACCGCGTGCATTTCAATGGATGAAAGTATAAACTGAGGTTTTTGTATAATGCTCTCTCGCTTCTTCTTATGGGCGAGAAGGTGGCCGAATGCGCCGTAAGTTTGAGTTTTATTTAGTGGGGTTGCGACTTCGCCCAGTATTTTATTGTTAACTATAATTCTAATCTTATTAAAATTCAAGACTTTTCTATTTGATTACCAAAGTCGTCAGATTATTAAAAAGACAAACTTACGAAAGTTTACACGCAAACTAAAATTGGGTTGTATGTAATACCTATCAAATCAAAGAAATAAAACTCAATTTGATGTTTTTAACTTTTTTTTATTTTCTTCCCACAAGTGGCAAGAACCAGAGTAGTGAGCACAACCTAACGAAACGAAAATGGTAACTATTTTCAGGGATAACCACTATTTAATTTATTTAATTGGTACAAATTAATGTATTGATTTTTAACGATTACAACTTCTAAGCTAAGTTACTACATACAAAATTGTTGGTGCCACACAAATACATTTCGTATATTGTTAATGATTAAATTCAAAATTAAAACTGTTGTGTAGAGGCTTCGTAACTACAGCATTACCTACATAATAAAGCAATGTTATGGTTTGTGAATTACATTTGTATAGAACATGGCTAGAATTTTTCAATAAATTTCGATTAAAAAAATGTGAAATCCCTCGAGACTGCTACTACCCCAGCTTAGAAGATAATTTTTCTAATGAATTTACAGTTTCAAGAAAGAAAATAAATGATATAATTTTATATGAACTGTAACAAATTTGCATGTAACCAAGGCTAGTTGATAGATAGCTATCGGTTACAAGCCCACTTGTTCCATGAGCGGAGAGCATTCATTACAAGATTTTCAAATAACTACGGTCTTTTTTTAATTATATTTTTAAAACGTGTGCAGATAGCGACGTGTCCAAAACGTATAGGAAAAATGCTGCTCTCAGCCCAAAATGAAACACTTTTATGTTAAACAAAGAGTTGACTTATAATCAGCTGTTTGTATAAATATTTAAATATGCAATACTAATACATTATTGATGAAAATCTCGGTAAGCCACTCGCGGTGTAATTGTGGCTAATAATGTATTTAGTTCTTGTGGGGACACAACACCCGTTTCCAAATTCCTTACACAGATTTCTGTTCACCTTTGTTTGATCAAATGTTACTAAAAAGCTGTCAGAAATTCATGCAAGTGATTTTGCGGGCCCTTAATTTAATACGATGTCAATAATATTTATGGTTGGAAACACTAACGCAATTTGAAACCCCAAGATTATTGATATCGCATCATACAAAAATTAATTAAGTCCGCAATGACATTGTGTTATCTATAGTCCCCTAAAATAATGCCATTGCAAACTGTTTTGTTGTCCTTAACATTAAAGTTTTAGAACAACTTTTATCCGCAGATGTTCTGGATCTAAGCCAATCAAGTGCATAGGCACATTACATTAGATTAATTGCTAATCAAACATAATATTATATGCAAACTTGACTATAACAATATTTTTTTAGATTTTCTTTTTTTTTTCGAAGTATTCTTTAGCGAATATTGTTAATAGAATAAGTACAATATATGAACATATGACAGCACAACAAAAAAACTAAAACTGTGATGATCTCAATAGATTACATGACATGAGAGAAATGAAATTAATTCATTAGTTGAATGAGTTTTAAAATACCCAACCATACAAATGATACAATGGAACTTTAGACATGAAAATAATATAGCTGAAATAATTTTTCAGCTATATTATTGTTCACATTTTAGTCTCAAAATAATTTCAGACAAGGAAACAAAAAGATAAAATACTATAACAATACATTTTAAACAACAGAAAGATCCTACACATTAATTCCACAATACGTTATATAAATATATATAGCTCTTCAGATGGAAATCCTGCAATGACATTTTTTTATACTTTTTTCATTATAAGATATAATTATGACAAAGAGAAATATATCACACTACAGAAAGTAAATAAATATATAATTATATAAAACACGATAAAGTTCGCAATTTTATATGAAATGTTACGAGAGAATGGTGTAAATGAAATACATAAATATTGAATGGTACTCTCATACATAGTTACCAGTGTTACTAGTTTTTTGAACATTGGCAATACCGTAACTATGTATGGCCTCTACATAAAAAATGAAAATATAACATATACACTTCCTATGCTTTATATAAACTATAATAACAGTTACGCCTATATGAACTGTTACCATCCATATATGGAGTTGTAAATTATATTACAATTTAATACTGCCACTGTTTAAGATTCTGTCACACCTTTAACCAAAAACGATCTTGTAGTATCATAACATGCCGGTGAAAAGAGCTTACAGACATACCCAGAATATTAAACAGTAGCTGCGAACATTATTATTAAAGACCACAATAAATCCCATTCATTACCACACTAGAGGGCTTTTGATCCTCGTCTAACATTGTCCAACTTCGTAGAAAACTTTTCACTTCAATCATTACTAGCGGGTAGTCAAGCCCACGAATACCTCCATCTGTCCTACTTTTACCTGGAACGGCCAATCAATAAAACGACCGCGAATAAAACTTAAAGACATATTGGACAAACCATTGAAATAATCCACTGCCTTTCAATAACGAATACCAACGACAGTTACCTATTATACATCTCGATATCGCTTCTAAGCGAAATATAGGCATTGGAAACGTTTAAAATCGTAACGTCTGCCATTTGCAATACTTGCAGTGCGCTACTCAATCCATCGTGATGTTTAAAAGCAATTCATTGGAAATTTCGAAAGGCGTCCACCGTGCAACTTACAAAACCTACGATCCTATCTGTACGACTCCAATGCCAAAAAATAGATGCGCGTCGTGTACGCTTCGAAAAAAATGTCAAACAAAAAAAAAAAAACAATTTCTTCCTACAGTATAAATTTTAAACGAATTTCAGCTCTTTAGAAAACGTAAACGAAAAAAATACTAACAAAAATAATATACCTGTTCACCTACTTTTATAATAACAAATTATTTTTTAAACATCTCTGGACGATATTATTGTAAGAATTATATTAGAATCGCCCGATGTGTTTGCTTTAAAATGCTCTCGTTTGTGACATATTTCATTATTTTAAAGTTATTGATTGATATTTTACAAAAATTATTAAACAAAAAATTCAGCAATTCAAATGTAAATAGACATTCTCATTAAAATGCATAAAATATCGTTTGAAGTCAATAAAAAGCTCAAATAAAATTTTTATATAATCCCTTGCAATCGAGAGCATTTTAACAAACATGCATACATATATATATATTTAAAAATCCCTACAAAGGAAACATTGAACTAAATTAATTTTACATTTTACTTCTTTCCCAAACAACTATAAGACATAAGATATGTTAGCACATTTCTAGTTCTCTTTTCTCAACTTAGTTATCCTTCCATTCCTGCCGACTAACACTATTTATATATGAGAGAATCACTCTTTATGGGCCGTTGGTTTCGATTTGTTATGAAGCGACCCCTGCCTTGTTTAAACAAATCCATGTACGACAAAACAGGTTGATTCTTGTTATACCTTTTAATAACTTTCCATGGATAAAGGGCTATATATACAAAGAATGTATGATCGCGGTAAAGGATATAATAATCGGTATAGAGGCTACCTTGACAGTATATTCACTTAATTATTTTGAATTCTATGATTTTCACCTTCTGGGATAGTAGAAATACCTACTTACTTGATAGAAGGTTATTAATTCTGAACACTGAATGTAGTGTTAAAATAGCCTCAATCGTAACAGGATAATATTAAAGTTATTAATGCTTCAAATTACATGCAAGTTTGCAATAGACCTTATATGAACTATTGTATATTAAACAAGCCACTGACAAATTATATCATGATAGTCAAATAAAAGTAGTATATTATGCATTGTTGCTATGAGCATTTCCAATAGAAATTTGTCTTAAAATCAATATGATGTCCTTAATTTATTCGAATGTAATTTGTTTTACACTAATATAATTTGTCAATAGCATCGAACAAATTGCACATAAGCGCATTTTAATCCCAAACACACCAGTCCCACTTGTGATTGCAAAGAAAATTACTTTAAACAAAACTAATGTAGTATACAAATGAAAGGGATTTTGCATTCAGGCCATAACTGCTGATATACACTAATTCTATGCTGGGTTTTTCTCTATGTAAGAAATTTGTCAAAAACAACAGTAGATTTCTTTTCCTATGTAAAAATATATCCCACGTAAAAAAAAATTCAAACAAATTCATTTCACTGCTCAAAGAACATTTCAATTTCATTCAAGTGAAGACAAGGCGAAGGTGGGTTTTATAAGGAATATAGCGGGGTGCGTGGCGCGTATGGGTTCGGGCGGGCGGCAACGCAGTGTGCGGTCGGGCGCGGTCAGCGCGTGAGCGGGCGGTCGAGCGCCGCGGCGCAGCAGTGCAGGAAGCGCGCGTGCGGGTGCGAGCACACGCCCGCGCAACGCAGCGCAGCACTGTGCCTCCGCTTGCGGTCCGCACTGGCGAGCGTCTCGTCGACCGAATCCGTCGCGTTCGCGTACTGCGCGTGCGCAGCGCTTATGTCCGCTAGCAACTCCTCCCATTCGCGTGAGAGCTCGTCCCGCGGCGGAGCGACCGACGGCTCCGTATGAACGACACACTCGCATGCACTTTCCTCGCTCCAGATGCTATGCATCGCGCTGCGCATCTTCTTGGCGGCGCGGCCGCACTCCTCGCACGCCCAGGCGTCGGGCCGCTCCGTCTGCACGCCGGTGTCGTGTTGCCGAACCGGAAAACGCAACCGAAACCCGGTGTCGTCGAAATCCGCACACCGCTGCGCCTCCGTTAGATTCAGCCGGCCGTAATCGATGCTCTTGGAACGGTATTCGAGGTAACGTTCTAGCGAGCTACCGATATAGACGCCGCCGGATTCACTCCGCTGGATGTCGACCACGTCGAGGTCACCGCGTATGTCGAAGGTGTCGCCGTCGGCGTATCGCGTTATGTCCAACTCCGATTCGCGCCGGATCGGTCGGAAATGCGTGCGAGAAGATATGAGCAGGTCTTCGCGGTCAAGGGATGGGGAACGGGGTGGTTCTTCTATTGGTTGTGGTTCGACAGGAAGTTTAGGTTCACGGCTACGTCTCCGAGGCGGAACCTCCACAAAACCGCTGCGGTCTCGGCTGTGGTTGATCGCGGTGAACGAACGCATCGTCTGCGCGACAGTCGATAGTGCATCATACAACTCTTCACTCTCGTACAATGTGAAAGACTCAAGCTCACGAGGCGGCATTGGCTCCGCGGAATCGCTTAGATTCAACGGCTTGAAGCGGTCATGGAGCGCATCTGCTATCTTTGAAGGCGAATCGGCACGCTCTACTAACAGACTTTCCGCAGCATCTGTTGACCAGATGCTCTCTGTCAGAGAAATCAAACTGTACTTTTCAGTGGACGGATCTGCAAAAAGGTGGTCGGAGGGCGATGACAGCAAATCTTGAAAATCAATTGGCAGGTCTTGATATTCATCATCAGGTGTGTTTTGGTCTTTTGACCATAATGCTTCAATACTCCTATCAAACTTTGCTTCAAACTTTGCATACAATTCTTCCTCCATTGGGGACCGTACTCGGGGGTTAAGGTCTTCTGTTATCACCCACTCTGTAGCCAAATCCAGACTATCATCCCAGTCTGGCACCACATTATCTTTCATTTGCAGCTTGACTTCAGTTATCTCTTTTATTTCATCTGTGACTGTATTTTCACAAGTACCATAACCTTCATCCAATGCAATAGCTCTTATAAACTCCTTAACCGGATCCTGGGTTTCCATATCCCAAACTCCCTCATGTGTCACCCACTCAGGAAGACTCTCCTTGCTCTCAAATGATTTACTGTAACTGTTCCACCGTTTTCTGTTATTTTTCCTCTGATTGTGGTAAGAGTTGCGCCTTTCCTTCCCTGACGAGTACTTCTTGTTTTTGGAATTCCAATCTTTTGACATTGAGATTTCACTTTGCATTTTGACCTTTATTTCAGTACTTGGTTTACGACACCACGCTGGTGGTGGCAAATAGTATTGCAATGGCGACTCCTGGCCTTTTTTTAGAGCCGGAAAAGCAGCGTAATATCGACGTACTGCTTCACTTTGTTCTAAGGAACACGTGGGCATGCCTACTACTGCAGTATTTTCTTTATCTTTGATGTCATGTAGTCTTATGCACAGCTGATCAACAATGTTGTCCAGATTAGTTCCCTGTAAAAATTAAACAAAATATTATAGAAACTAGGACAAAATTAATTTACAATAAAAAAATCAAAATTAAACACAGTTTTAATTAACTACAAGAAAAATTAAGTACATTTTTCTAAATACTGGTAGACTAAGAGGTCTAAATTAGGTAGCATGAAATGCATAAATATAGTTTTAATCTTCATACTGTATCTACATAGATTCTAATTACTGAACTGCTATAATATTTATGTTAATATCATTATATAAAATAATATATACAATTATGTAAATAAATCATTATATGCAGGATCAAACAATGGAATAAAAAGAGGTAGGCATTTACTGTGCAGAAAAATAATGGGGCCAATAAATAATATTCCAAGTGCAGTATTTCACAGGCAACATTTTGATTTAGTTCACAATTTTGTTGCGTATGAATATCACTTAACAGTGCAATTCACAAAATCAGTTAAAGACCGACCTTTCCATAGGGATTCTTTACATTGTCAACAGTCTTCATTTTAACTTTCCCAGTGTTACGGTCACTTTCCAGAATAACTGAGCACTGCATATCCTCTTGAGAGGGGGCACAAAAGTATTCATTAGTATCAACTAAAGTTATTCTTTCTATTTATTAATAAGTAAATTATTATTTAGAAATTAACTACTATTCATACACTGCTAAGTGAAATTTGTTATCAGTTGTTTGGTAAACAAACAAGTTTAGTAATGTGCTCAAAGTTGAAAAACATGTTCATTCATATCTATAACCAAACCAAAAATTTAATTACAATTCTACTATTGATATGCTCTTTTAATGTTTAAAAATAAAAAAGTAGTAATATTGTTATAGGCAGAAGCAAATTAACTTTTTCATTGTCCTGTTAGGTTCGGTCAGGTAATATGAGAATTTTGAATGATTATCGTAATTTGTCAATTTTGCAGACAGGGAGACTGTTAAAAAATCACAAATGATGTTGCTTGATAAATCACAATAGCAATTTTAAAATGTGATCAGAATTTATGTAAATCTTGTATTAAGTCAATAAAGACAATGAGAAAACAGTGATTGGATTTATGATTATCATTACTACGTATTTAATTTTATCATCATTTCTCTTAACATTTTTGCCTTCACAACCATATTCTATAGTTATCACTTCTAAAAATATTAGATTTAACAACTTTTAGTACCAAAATATCTAACAAAAATATCTTACAATACCTAAATATAAAGGCCTTATGATAATCTTTTCTATTTAGTCCTCAATTTCACAAATAAAGTTCCATAGGTAGTGAAATTTGACAGCAAATGTCAAATTCAACAAATAATGTAGTGCTACGACTAAGAGACTTTTTTTATACAATCTTCTTTAATACATGGGCATAGTATATGTAACTACTGAGCTTGTACTCAATAAACAGTTCCACGCTGACATTGGCGAATAATCAAAAACCGCCATAAAAAAAGAAAGAAGAAGAAGACTTCTTTATTTAGAAGGACTATTAGAGAAAACTAGATTTAAGGAGAGCTATCTTTTTTTTTCATAATCCTATCAAAAGTCGACTGCTGAACATACTCCTGCCCCATAAACTGCCTTAAAGGTTATTGCCACTTCTGGCAGTCTGATAGATAGCAACTTTTTACATCATTTCATTGGCGACTAGCCTCAGCCACTACGGCTCGCACAGACCTGCGACTTGCTATGGCGGGTGGGGGCTGCTCTCCCTCCACGCCTGCGGCTTTATAAAAACACTCTAGGAGTAGGGCTGACAAGACTATGTGCAGTCGGGGCGTGCTGATTCGTGCTGATTGAAAAATCTAAAACTTCAAATGGGGTTGTTATAAACTAATTTGCTTAATTCCACGTAAAGAAAGAAAATGATGTGTCCTGCCCAGTATTAAGGGGACCTCCCACCCTCCCTCAATCGCGCGCACTATACCCGTCGCCGTTAATCCCAGCACTACTACTCCCAGCACCAGCACACTAGACACGAGCTAAGAGTAAGTTAGCGGCCAGCCTCCGCAGTCTACTACACCTGAGGATGCCTCGTGTAGAGGCGAAACACGTGTCGTATTTTCGAAAGTGGTGTGTCGTGCCTAGTGTGGTGGTGCTGGGAGTGGTAGTGCTGGGATTAACGGCGACAGGTATAGTGCGCGCGATTGAGGGAGGGTGGGAGGTCCCCTTAAAACTGGGCAGGACACATCATTTTATTTCTTTACGCGGAATTAAGCAAATTAATTTATAACAACCCCATTATAATGGATTTCCACAAAGTAACGCCTGATTCTATCAATTATCTAAAACTTAAAACCCTCGTAATAAATTTCAGGGGCATTTGTGCCAAAAATTCCTTTGCGGTTTTTTCTTCATTTATGTTGGTAATGCAGGAAGTCGATGGATGCAGGTGGCTCAGGACCGTGCTTTGTGGCATTCTTTAGGGGAGGCCTATGTTCAGCAGTGGACTTGTGAAGGGCTGTAATGATGATGATGATGATGATGTTGGTAAACATGTAAAAAAAAATTGGTCCAAATCTGAGGTGTCCCTAGGATGGAACTCTACCCAAATGATGTAGTGGTAGTGGATTATCTTATGCCGCAAGCACATTGATTACCAAAAAGAAAAGGTAGTTAGAAATAAAACTGGCAATATAAAGATAACTAAAGAAGCATATTCAAAATCCTAATATCAGATTAATGTTACTAGTCATAAATTAAATGGTAATAAAAATCATTATTAAAATTCATAATCCATTCATCTACACAGTTGAGCAAAACTTCCATCGAGGGAAAAAATGTCCAGATATGAACTGTTTACAGTCTGATGATAAAAGTTTAATAATTTACCTGTCCTTAATGTGCGGGGTATCAGATGATGAAACGCGAAGTTTGGTGCAGCTCTCTCGACGTGGCAGGCCAGCAGGCGTACGCCTGGCTCCCTTTTTTATGTTTACGCATCCTGCCCGGTACAATCACTAACGTTATCAAACACCAACATCATATTCATTAATCGAGTATCCATTTTTCTTTTGCCTTGGGCCGTGTTATTTATCGATCCTTCAGGATGCTTCCGTATTAATAATACATTCTTAATTTCTTTGGCGTATTCTTTGCTAGTTTAGCATAAGGCAACGATTTTCAATTTAGTTGATTGTATGCGCTCGCATCGTCACTAGCTTATGACAAATGACGCACTTCGTGCATCCTTTAGTTCTGCAAATGCAAATTTTATTTATTTATAACAATATCACGTGTTGTTTAGTTACATAGTTTACTATGACTTGCAAGGGCACAAAGAATTTCATGGAAACCAATAGCGGCACCGCCGCACTTATTGGGTCGATGGCGCCAAATAAACGTCACTCCAACGAGGGTGAGACATCATATACAGAGCCTTTTTTATAGATTTGTTTCAAGATCGTTTCTCAGATACAGAACAAAGAAAATCCTTAATAAACATTAGTCATTTTTATTATTTTGCGTTGTATTGATAAATACTTAAGAGGATACAAACTAAAACTATGCAATTTCACAAGAATGACACAGTATTACATGATAAACTTTTACTAAGGTAAAGATGCTTGGATGTTTCCGCGTTGGCACTACAAATATAAACCGAAAACAGTAAAAACTCACCCGTAATAGTTTATGTGTGGAAATTATCATGATAAATCTATACACACACACCCCACATTCACATGAAAAAAAACATGGCAGCCGCAATGAGAGAGTTAAAATTTATAATTTGCGCAACGCCGTCAGACTGAAATGACGTCTCGTTACTGACCAATCACATACATTCGATTTTCAAATTTATCAAAGATGGCCGACAGCATGCCCGTGATTTCGAGATTACATTGTTCACAGTTTGTGATTCGCTCAAATGTATATATTCGAATCTATTGGACGGCGACGGAAGGTGACAACCAATTATCATCACTATTAAAACCGGATATAACAAAATTATCGCGCCAAAATTAACCGCCCTATTTGAAAACATACTTTAATAAACAAAAATAGAAATGAAAATATAACCATTCATTCATAGCTGAAATTGACTGTCTTCGATATTTAAAAATTGAACAATATTTGTATTTGCGTTGAACATCGTTTTACACATAAATAATAAATAAATACGAAATAAGGCTCAGGCTCAACCACGAAGCCGTGACATTAACCCAAAGTAGCATCCTTATATATTACTATACTCTTTGCAAATGCAAAGTAGTATAATATGGCGGCATGGACGTATGATGACCACAGAATACTTTAATGATGACGGTGTGTTAATCACAGAGTATTTGTATGTATGTACTTTTTTATATGGTGTTAATAAAGGTGACTTTTCACGTGAATTGAAGGTAAACTGTGTAATGTAATCTGCTGAACACAACAACAAAATAATAGTTTTCTTCTTCATCATTAACCCATAAAGTCCAGCACCACTGAAGATACACCTCTCCCGTTGTATGTAGTATTTTGTTTAACCGTCACGCTTTTAAGAATTTAAAACTTTTATTATAGTAGCAATATATACAAATATAGTACAAACCGCATACCAAGAGTCAACATACATAGGATTGCGTTGAAGCCATGACTCTACTCTTATCTACGGAGTCCCGCAGAAGAATGTGTTATTCCCGAATCTATTAGGTATACGTAAACAGCCTTTGTGGCTAACCCCAAAGGTCTCTACGAAATAGGCACGTGTTTTCGTATGCAGATGACACTACCACTACTGTAGTGTTCTGTGGGCGAAGCTAGTAGCAAGATGTGCGTCACAGTCCTGAAGCAAGCTTAGACAAGGTTGCACAGTGGCTAAAAATACATTTATTAACCCGCACTACATATATTTAAGACGAAATATGTACCTATGTTTTACCAAGTACAATAGGACTCAACTTAATCTCTAGACATATAAAAATCAATTGCTGTCCGTTAGTCTCGCAAAAACTCAAAAATGGCTGGACCGATTTTGATGTGTGTACGTTTGAGTGGGTCCCTGCTTGGTTTATATACACAATTTAGGTGGTGCTGTTGTCGAGATCCAGAAATCACCCTCGCGAAGCCGGGGCGGATCGCTAGTCTTGCATATTGCTAGTATTATATATGTAAATTAAAACTGTAATATTGAAATAAATGTCTTTTTTTATATGATAGGGTGACAAACGAGCACACAGTCTACCTAATGGTAAGTGGTTGCTGTGACTCATAGACATCTACATCTATCTTCAATAAAGAATCAAAATGCAGATGCGTTGTCACCCGTGAGGACTAAGATGGAATGCCTCTTTTTCTACTAGAAAAGAGATTTTTTTTTTACTAAAAGGCTCTCCGGTTCTCTACACTCACATTACGAAACACTGCAGCATTAAGCTGCTATTTTACGCTGGTATTCTGTGAGAGCGTGGTGCTACCCCGGTCGAGCCGATCCATTCGTGCTACAACCATAATTATAGCTGCAGTGTGACTCTACCACGTCCAGAAGTATAAAATGCAGTAAAGTTACAGGCTGTGAGACATTCTATCTTAGAGGTGACAACCCGTCTTCAGCCTTTTTTGTTTTACATCCGCTGCAGGTGTCCATGGACTGCAGTAGCCACTTACTTACATCAGGCGTACTGTAAGTTCGTTTATTACTTAAATTTTATGAAAACATAGTCGCATAATTAAAATGTTATCGTTGAATCAGATAAGAGCATAATTTAAATATTTTAATCACTACCTTTTCTTCCAAATGGTACCTGTCTGGAAGAAATCGCTATTAGTGATTAGACCGTCCATTGATTTAATTAATAACTCATTGGTTACATAACATTTGTATTTAAAAAAATTCTCTCTTGTCTCTGGAGTGTATAATAAAGAATTATTATCTAAGCTAATAAGCTACATATATATTTATCTATGCTAATAAGTGCATAGCTGTACAGTACAGGTAAGACCTAATTTCACCTTAGTAATAATTTATTTATAAAAAAAATAAATATGATATTGGTTTGTGCAACGTTAACGTTTTCAAGAAACAAAAAAAAAAACAATAAATAAAACTCCCATAAATATCTATACTTAATACGATATTTTTATTCTCTCAAAACTTTTTAACGTCTCAGCACATTTATAAGCATTATAATGAATGTAATTTATCCTATAATGCATTATTTAAATTTACACAACACCTCTTGAATACCTTTGGGGTCGAATATAATAAAACATATAATTAACTAAGAAAATAAAGAATAACACAGACATTGTATATATCTTCAAATAAAATAATTTTAATCTCATTACACGCAATCCAAGGTATTACATACTATTGTTCTAAAATATTCAATACAATATAAAAGAACATTTTCTTATAAAATTGTTTTTAAAGTATTTGACACGGCAGTGTGAGAGTTCCAAAACAATTTAGTCGAACTCGGCATAGCCGGTGGCTATATGTCGACTTAAAATAGCAGTGAAGTGTTGATGAGAAAGATAAGCGCATATAAAATACCAAGTGGTAGAGACTCATTTTCTGCTTAGGTAACCGTCTGGGTGTGCTGTGCTGTGATTGATTAATAAACAATTAACGTATGTAACGGAGTATTTTAGTTTTTTTTTTCTCGGGGGGTTGGAGTTGGTGAGTTTTTTGGCTTGCATGGCCTCAGAAAGGTATGTTTGGCTAAAAATTACTGTCCGGCTTTTAGGGCCAAAAGTCCGGCTTTTTAGGGCGCCAAGTCCAGCTTTTTCATTTTAAGAGATGGCAACCCTACTTTCGGCATGAAAATATACCTATGCTGCGCGGCCCCATACAAGTGACTAATTCCGCGAGTTTGTAATATCGAGCTCGAGCTGACACGCGCCTTAAGCCGTGTATCGATTATGCGCTCCAAAAGGTCGAATATTGGCGCGCGCGTTCCAGCCGCGCGAAATGCATACCACCTTCGAACGTGCGCCTATTTGTTCGTTGGAACACTCAAACGTGGAGCGGGCCGACTACTTTTCTCAACTACTTTGATACGCGGTAAAAAACCAACACCAGGTGGAACAGCCCGCTCCACGTTTGAGCGTTCCAACGAACACTTTGGCGCACGTTCCGAAGCGGTATCCATTTCACGCGGCTGGAACGCGCGCCAATGTTCGACCTCTTGGAATGCATAATCTATACGCGGCTTTACGTTAACAAAAGAGTATTTTTCTCTTATAAGTATTTAGGCACTTTTGATATTTATTCTTAAGTTTTTATTCAAATATGGCCTCTTAAAAAGCCAAAAGGTACAGCATAGCACACGGGTGCTTAAATAACAATAGGAATGTCTACTTTTCATTCTATACTGGACCTACCTAAGGATACCGAAATGTGAGATATTATTATTTATAGGTAGATTTAGATAATTAGGTACCTAGTAATGACTCCATAGTTACAAATTTATCGCATCGCATATAGGACCTCCCAGTACTAAGTAGTGCCTACTAACGCAATATCAGTATATACCGGTTATTAGTTAAACACTTGGTCGATAAAAGAAAGAGATTGAAAACAGCAGCACTTCTCATTGCCACTTTTTTCATTTAATAATGCCGTCGCGTGTCACATGTTTGTAAATAGCAAAAAAATTCGAAACAGAAAATGATAAGTAGGTAAATTATCTGAGTTAAAAAATTAAGATTATAAACTCGGTGAGTTTCAAAGATGTTCACGTTGTTATAATCTTAATTTTTCTAGATGTTGCTTACTAACCTTCCTCGCCTTGAACAATAATGTTCTTATTATCAGGAAATTAATAATACATTGCATATCACAGGTGTATTCTACTACCAACTAATATCAAAGGATTCAATTTGTTTTCTCACACCTAATCCTATAGTAGGAGCGGCCTTAACAAAGGCGCGTAACAGACTAAGTGATACACCCTCGCACGCGGACGATTTTGATTTAATACGCGCGTCGCAACTATTGGTAGGCTATTTTAACGAAGGCCGCACGCGGGGTGTGCAATTTTTGAACATTAGCGACGTCGTAACTAGGTTTAAGCTATAGTTTGCTATCAGTGATTCTTCTGTTCTCATTCTATTATTTGTTTTGTGGTTCCAGCGGAAATACATCCGCGTTATATGAAATCATCCTTTTAATAGAAAGTATTCTGAGTACCTAGTGCGAGTTTATATTTTTACATACTCGATACGATTTGTATAGAATAAAATCAGCGCCAACTAGTGGCAATAATCGGAATCACAATTCATTATTACCTATTTGTTTATGTTTCGTAATTTGATCAAGGTTTCGACAGTTTGTGTTAGTATTTTCCTGTATATACTTATTATACTCTTTGGTTAGTATTATGGGATTGTAAATAAGCCATTTTATTTTAATGTTAATTATTGAAAGTATTAAATTGAAAGCAAAAAACATGAAGACGTTTTCGTTCTAATATGATTTTATGGTGACATTTATGGAGTAGTAAATGGAATTTAGTTACTTAGTGTTAAGTGAACTTATGATACTTAATTATTAAATAGTGATGGTAGGAACTTGGATTTATCAAACGCTATTTACACAAAAACTTGAATACTTTCTTGGAAGAGGCGATATCTATCCTTAAATTACCTGTCATTGGAGATGTTACAACTGACAAAAATATGCACAAGCTCTTGCTTCAACACTGGCGTTATAATAGCAGTCATCTATTATTATTAGTTATTAATGCCTTTGTGGCTGCAAACATCCTCCTAACGAAAAAAAACGTCCTTTTTAAATTATATATCGTTCTAACAAAACGAAATAAAATTAACTCTTCAACAATTATTCTCACTCTTCTATCTCACTCTAAAAATGTAGGTGAAAACTTTTTCGATATCGACGGCGTAAAGTTTTACGTCTACAACGATCGAAATTGCCGCTCCAACCAAACGTGCGTTAACGTTCTCACTGTCGAATGAGAGTCAATGCTCGATGGTGATTCCGATTATTGCCACTAGTTGGCGCTGATTTTATTCCATACAAATTGTAGTTAACTTTCTCGGTATCGAGTTCGTAAAAATATACACTCGCACTAGGCACACTGACTGCCTTTTATATTTACTGCCATTCGATAAATTTCAAGAATTAGCCAAAATTCGACCTCCAGCCGTGTCGTAATAGTTGCAGGTGTACAAGAGTTGGTTTGTAAAACATTAACCCAAAATGTATGAAAAATTTGGAAGCAATTTTAAATAAATCAATCATTAGACTATAATTTGTGATAATACTTTATTGTAAGCCAAATTAGAACCATACGACTGAACAGTGATCACAGAAATACATAAATAACGATAAACCTCTGAAACAAAGAAACAAAAATCATATTATACAAAATAAGAACATAATAACACATTAAGTTTTAAAATTGTATGCGTATGGAAAGTATTATTTACATAAGAAGGTACACAAAAATTTTACTATTTAAAAAAATGATATATATGCTGTAAAAACTAGGAACAGACACAAGTTACTTATAGCAATTTTTCGACTCCAAAGAGTCGGTAATTCATTTATCGGATAGTGTATTCGGTTTTACAACAAATTCCCAGAAAATATATAACATTTGTTATCGCCAAGTCATATTTTTAAACAAATATTGTTTATAGAGTTATTATTATATTAAGAAAAACATGGATAATAATAACCAATGGGAATGAGGTGATAGTTAACAAGCTATTTCGATTTTAATTTATATACTTAATTGTCCAACAATACATAATCGTAAACTGTTTTTTTTAAAGTCCCATTGAGTTTCTTGTTGGTGCCAGTGGTACATTAAACAAAATATCATTTATAATCTACAATAAAAAAATCTATTTACTATTTTCAGTAAATGATTGATTAAGATTACACGTTTACAGAAAGGCTTATTGTCATACGGTAACATTTATAACATTCTATTCATATAAATATGTACTTATATGTATTTTCGACTTGGCCGAGACCCTAAAAACAAGAAGCTCTAAATCCAAAAATCAAAACCTAATGCTAACTCCATACCCTAGACTAAAAACTGGATAAGAAAATGCAAAGGCTCTATAGAAATTTCAATGCCACAAATTTATGGATTTATTTAATTATTTTATTTAATTGATTTAATATTTCCTCGTCATAATAGAAACCAAACGTGTTTTGTAGTAAGAATTTAAGCTAGACCTGTATGTATGTACTTATGTATTGAATGTAATGGAATTCTGTAATTCAGTTTTCATTCACGTCCAGACTTCTGAATAATTTGAAACTATGCAGACCTATGACAATACAATTATTTTATAAGACCTAGTGTTTTCATTAGGATCATCACAGCACATGATCAATGGTTTTTTTTTTAAACTCTTTTATCGTTATTTTAAACTGAAAAAGAATTACAATGCAAAATATATTTGTAACATTTAACCATGTGGTTATAATTTTAAAGTGATTTTGGGGTCTTATTTAGCGGTAAAATCAAATTAAATGTCATAGATATATTTTTATCTGTACCGTACTATATCCCCGTATATTATGTACTTCTCTATTCTAGTAAACATGGGATATTACAAACGTAATATATTTGTTATAAATATTACATATTTGAGGCTTTTATAGATCTATTTGGAGTCGATAGAGGTTATTCCCAACTTTTGCCTCAAGTGTGGACGTTGCATAATTCCATTTAAGCTTAAAGCACATCGACATCTGCATGCGTGTTATTTGCAACGCAAATTAGCAGGATAGCATAAACTAAAACCACCCATTAACTAACTTTACACCCGTATAATAAACCCGCTCTAAAAGCCCTCGAACTACTTGTTGTTTAAATTATAATTAGGCACTAGACAAGCTACAAACTTAATTGTAGAGCTTTTTTCGAAAAAATCTTGGACACAATATGTAATTAGATTAAAGTAATCATTTTGTTGTATCGTGTAAGATTGCTATTTGATGAAGATGCGAGCAGTTTCATTAAAAAAAAAATCTATTGGAACTGTTATTCCATCAGTGGGTTCCTTATCCTTATACTATCAGGAAGTGAAAGGGTGGCGGCTTTCACTTATGAAATAATAATTTCTCAATAATAATCACGTAAATTAAACGCATAAAATTGATATTTTTGAGTGATGAATCGGTTATAATAAATATAATAGGTAGAACATTTGCTTTTATTGTTGAAATTTACACTTGACATCTAGTGAACTATGCTCGTTTACCATCTTACAAACAAGGGTATACATTTTCCTAAATTCTTTGACAATATAAAGTTACAGCCAGACTATACACTCATACATAATATAACGGCACTGTAGGGTTAGCAAAGATGACATTCTACAATTATTAACGCTATAGAAAACAAAAATAATGAATAAAATGAAAACTAAGTCACGTGACTTAAAGTTCAGATATGTCATTTCATTCATGTTTATAGTTTTCTATAGCGCTAACGATTGTAGTCATCTTGGCTAACCCCGTTGGCCTCTTCTCGTTTCTAAGAGACGGAGCAATTAGTTCATGTGTTGCTCCAGTACGTATTGTCGCGTGTTGCTCCAGTGCGTATTGTCGCGTGTTGCTCCAATGCGAATTGACAGACTTTATGTCCTCGAGATTTTTTATTTCTCTACCACACAAGTTTTCTTACCACCAATAACTTAAATCCTTAATTTTATATATTTACTAGACACCAATAGCTTGTAAAGGTCACTACAGACAACTATATTATAGAATCTATTTCACACTTGCAATTTGTATCCTCTTCGTGAAATTCTTGTTGTTACTTTTTTTATGAGAAGTACTTGTCATTTATTTTAGATATCTGAAAATACAGCTCCAGTCTACCCGCGTTCACTATTGGCACAAGTTTATCAGAATCAATGGACGACTCAAATATCTATTCACTTTCGGCACTATGAAATCAGATGCAAGCAACAGATTCTTTTATATATTGGCAAATGTCGCCATGTGCAAATCCTTTTAGTATATAATTATTTGTAGAGGGCTTGTTCAATTAAATGGCGCCCAAAGCTATTCCAACAAAGCGCCTTCATTATTTTATAAAATTATTTATCAAAGACTTAATTACATTTGTGAAATATTTTAGTTATAATGAAAAAGATACAATTTTAAATTTGTGCTTATTGTTTAAAATTTTACCGCTTCGCAAACTCTACCGCCCTGAGCTTGAGTTTTACGGGCCTAAGCTTCAAACCGCTGCTGATCATTATGTACCATTGTGGACACAACACACGCGAAGAAAAAAAACTAAGTTTTTTTTTTAAATCGCTAGCAATGAAAAGAATAAAGACCATTCCTCAAACTTGAGAGCGGTTTATTATAACATATTTAGTCACAAACTGTATTTACAACACCATTAAAGGTGCGAATCAATGGCTCTCTGGTCGTTTACTGCTTTCCTCCGATTTCGTGACGATTTTTTCGCTCTTCGGCATCGTCCTCTGCTCTCCGAACTTCTCTACCGCCTTTTTCATTTCTCGTCGCTTCTGTGCTTCACGGATTATGTCAAATAAACTCTGAAAATGTTTACAGAATTCTTTAAATACTCATACATGGTGAATTGATTTTTAATAAGGCAGCTGAAGAGGATGTACACAACCAGCAACAGTTGATTCAGTTACTGAAAAGGTGCAGGGAAAAGATCCCAGAGGAAAACATCCGCCATCTTATTGAGAGCATGCGAGCAAGGCTCCAAGAATATGTTTTAAAAGAGGAGGACATACACGTTATTGGTCATAATAAAAGTAAATAACACAGCTGTGCATTTAATCTACAGTTTAATTCTATTGTTAGGTGTAAACAACCTTAAAAGGTGAAAAAAAAAACATTGTTTTATTGAATTTAAAACAACCCGGGCACATATTCTTGATCCGAAAAAATAAATCGGAAAATTTGTGGTGGCCCTTATTTTGTTTTGAATAGTATATATTATACTGATCTGCAGTCACTGTGAAGCCCGTAGTCATTGTTTTGCAATAGCATAATAAGACACAGACATATATACATAAACAATCTCTCACGCCTGTCATCCAAGAGTAGGCAATAATGTACTTCAATTTGGAATGACTGAGAAGCACTTCTCTCGCTTATTTCACATCCATATATCGACGCATACATTATTTTCGGTCTAGGGTAACTATCGTCAATATATCGCCAATGTGAATATTTTGTATGGGTGACCGCATAGAGGCACATAGAGATGTAAGAAAAACCACTACCCCATATCATTCCATATGTATCGTAAGACGCGACAGAGGGAAACAAACCAGTAGATAGGCAATACCATTATAGGCTATTAAAGTCCACTGCTGAATATAGGAATCTTCCATAGATTGCCTCATAGGGGGGATACTTGCCATAGTTGCCCACTCTTGGCACTCTTGGCAAGCGGATTGGCAGTTTTTTTATGTTGTGCCTTGAAACTTAAAAATTAAAAAAATGGAGCATGCTAAGTATTTCTTTAGGTTTATTATGCGACATAGGTGCGTTTAGTCTTCACAAGATGAAATTTTTCGACATAATTTTATATTGAAAAACGACTTTAAACACAAAGGAATAGAACTTATATAATAACTATGTTGAATTATAGATCATTAACAATAAATTCATTTTGGTAATGAGCCCTCATTCTCGTCAGTCGTTACTTCTCAGATTCAATTCTCTCGAATTGGCAAGGTTATTAAATTCATCATCATCATCATCAGGCATTGTCCTATATTAATCTTTTAAAGAAACTATGTCGGTTTATTCGGTGCTACTGCGAAAAGGCTTATTACAAAGTCTAACACGAAGCAAAACTCCCAGCTCTTTCCATAACTTGTTGTGCGACCTTGAGCCTCCTCATACTGTCAGCAGCGAAGGAGCACGTCCCAGATCCTGTCATCACTAACAACCCACACTGGTTCTTCTAGTTTCGAGGCACACATGACTACAATATGTGGTGTAATCGATAGGATAGTGTTCTAGAATAGTATGGAAAATTATAAGAAGAATGTACCTTGCCCTCAGATTCATTGGACTTGTCATGTTCTTTCGCTGCTGTGGCCGCTTTGTCTAATGCCTTTTGTATCTTGCTCTCCACCTCGAGTATCTCCTCTTTGTCAAGCAACTCAATAAGTTCATTGATCTGTTTTTCTGACAGATTCACATTTTCGTGTCCTACAATCTCTAACATCTGGAAAGGAAAGTATTATCTTTATTATTATTCAAAAAACATATGTGACAAACTTCATAGATTGCAATAGAAAATAAAAAATTATTACCATAATAATTTATTAACATAATAGTTTTTACCGTGTGAGTGTTTGCTCACACGTAAAACTGCCAGTTTTAGCAGTAATTATATTATATATAAATATTTAAAAAAAAAAATAGATGGGAATACAGCAGTGATTTTCGATAAGAACCAAATTTGTACAATTTAGATCAGGGATCACCAATTAGTTTCGTTGCGGGTCCGTTTCAAAAAAATATAAATCTGTTGCGGTGCGTTCGGCAGATATGACTGGCAGCTAAGATTGAAAATGTTAATTAACATATAAAAAGAAAAGAAATCAGAATTTTTTTTTATTAAGTATACATTTAATTAAAAAAAATAACAAATTAAGTACCTAACATACCAGTAGAGACAAGACAATTCGCGAGCTAAATGTAATTACCACAAATTTTTACATTGATATTTTTAGATTCTTCTTTGACCACACAATATAAGTCGGCGGTCCGGAAACGGACCGCGGTCCGTCATTACGTGACCCCTGATTTAGATTATAGCGAATAATAATTAAGTTATTTCGTCAAGTCGTTAGTTCTTTAATGTTGTTTATATTTCAATGTTATGTAAATTGTAAATCAATTATTTTTTGTTTGTTTCTTAAGATATTTTGTGAACACTATTTTTTACCACAGACTAATGGATGGCTATAATATAAACTTTTCATTGGACTTTTTGTATAAATTTTGTAATATGTATTGCTCTTAAAAGCCTCAGGCTTATTTATTACATAGTGTTTCAGTTTTTGTAAATAATTTAAATGAATGAATAAAAAAAATTAAAGGAAATAATTTAAATGTTTCAAATAATAAAAAATAGTTTTATAGTTTTGATAGTCTGTTTAGTGAGAGTGCTTAAAAAGAAGGGTTCCTAGATTCGTTACATTGCGGTCCGCATATATTTTTTCTGATAGAAGGCTGATGAAGGAGAAGTAACAACCAACATACATTCCACTGTATGGTACAGTTACAGTCTATATACTGCCAACAGCTCGGCACAGGGATCTTTTCATGACAGAGGGTTATAAAAAAGCAAATAGTGTGTCCCACTTAATAAAGCAAATAGTCCAATACTTGTTGGCGGACTTCAAATGTCTTTGAAATATTTTTATACGTAAGACATGCAGGTTTCCTCACTGTTTGGCCTTAACTGCCGATCATGTTATTAATCATCAGACCATCAAACTTCAATGCTGAACTAAGGGTTCTCCTTGAATTGCCTCTTAATGCCACATGAAACACCAGTTATTTTTTATGAATTATTTGGTTAAAATAAGGAAGACACTACTGCTGCTAATTTTCTGTTTCGTTCTGTCGCCTTTTAAAACATTCACGGGATGATGATATAGGGTATTCTTACACCACCACTACACGGTCAACTTAGTAAACCGACACCTAAAATTGCAATTAATATTTCATTGATGGAACGTGAACAGGATGAAACCAGAGTTGCTCATTTTTTTTTATAGGATAGAGTGACAAACGAGCACACAGTCCACCTGATGGTAAGTGGTTGCTACACATCTACATCTACATCTCTCCTCAATAAAGAATCAAAATGCAGAATGTGTGGATTAAGATGGAATGCCTCTCATCCAGTAAAAAGGGTCTCCAGTTCTCTACACTCACCATACGAAACACAGTAATGTTAAGCTACTATTTTACGCTGGTATTCTGTGAGAGCGTGGTCCTTCCCCTGTCGAGCCGACCCATTCGTACTACTACAACTATACTACTAATATATCTGCAGCATGGCTCTACCACGTATGAAATTATCATATACTGCATAATATACAGAAGCACTTTTTTTTTTTACAAAAACACATTCACTTAGCTCCGCAGCTATCACAGCTGCCAGCACTAAATCATATATTTCTTGCACTCTCTACTCTGGAGTCTGTAATCAAATGTTGGTTAGTACATACCTTCAAAACATCATCGATTTTCAACTGTCCGTCAAAGTCATCATCCAGTCTACCAAGAACATCCTGTATCAACTTTAACTTCGCCTCGTTGGGAACATTCTGGAGACTTTTAATGGAATGCATGAGTTCATCAATCTGGATCAAATGATCCTTAGCCTTCTGCGGCTCGGATTTAGTTTGCTCCAAAGTAGTTATTAGCTCTTTCTCTTTATTTTCGAGCTCTTCTAGCGCTGAATCTAACTTGCTTATCATGTTGTTCAAAGCACGATACAATCTGCCAAAAAATGTTTTTCAATTATACCATTAACAACTTCAAACATTTTATCGGTTTAAACAAACAACGTGTAAATATGGAGCAAGTAATTAAGGTAAGTCGAAGTTTTTCATGAGTAGACAAATTTTTTTTTTTTATAGGAGAGAAGGCAAACGAGCATACGGTTCACCTGATGGTAAGTGAATACCGCCGCCCACGAACAACTGCAACACCAGGGGAATTGCAGGTGCGTTACTCTTTTCTTGAAGGTTCCTAAGTCGTATCAGTCCGGAAAAATCACCGATGGTAAATTAATCAGCAGAGAGGTCGTACGCGGAAGAAAACTCCTAGTTAAACGTACAGTCGTGGACCGCCAAGCAACCAAGATGGTATGGATGGTATCGGGAGTTTTGCCGCGATGTGCATTCGTGAAATTTGGCGGCTGGGAATTGGCGGATTAATATCCGAACAATTCCTCAGAGTACTACTCATTGCAAATGCGAAAGAAAATGCAAAGGGATGCAACATCTCTTCGCAGCGCCAGTGAATCGAGCCGATCGGAAAGGACTCGGTCATCGACGATTCGAGCCGCTCTGCGTTGGATGCGATCAAGTGGAAGAAGCTGGCACTGGGGAGCCCCAGCCCAGTGATAGGAATCTTTATACCTAGTCAGGTCATAAGTATTGTCACACAGTAAAAACTTTTCTTTTAGAATGCTGGCCACAAAAAAGTTTATTGAATTCGAATTTCGAATTGTTCATGAAAATAAAACTGTATACTTTTTAGAATTTTACTCATTTTTAAATATGGAGTGGACCCTTAAAGAAGACCGTGTTGCAGTTATTGCGTTGCATCGTTGCGGTTACGCGCCAATTCAAATTTTTGACATAGTGAAAAATTTGAATATAACCAAAAGATTCGTTTATCGTACCATCAAACGATACAATGAAGACTCTAGTGTAGATGACAGGTCAAGAAGTGGTCGCCCTCGGTCTGTTAGGACTCCAGCAGTGATAAAAGCTGTGAAGGCGCGAATTCAAAGAAATCACAAACATAAGCAGAAACTGTTGGCCCTTCAGATGGGATTAAGCAGAACCACGGTGAAAAGGGTGTTAAATGAAGACTTAGGGCTTCGGGCATATCGAAGAAAAACAGGACATCGTTTGAATGCTCGTCTAATGGACCTGAGACTGAAGAGATGCCGCGCTTTGTTGAAGCGGTACGCGGAAAAAAAATATCGGGAAATTCATTTTTCGGATGAAAAAAATTTTTCCGGTGAAGAGAGCTACAACAAACAAAATGATAAGGTGTACGCACACAGTAGTGAAGAAGCGAGCAACCGTATTCCGCGTGTCCAACGAAGTCATTTTCCATCCTCGCTCATGGTATGGTTGGGAGTTTCTTATTGGGGCTTAACATCTTAACAGAGGTACATTTTTGTGAGAAAGGTGTAAAAACGAATGCAGTTGTGTATCAAAATACAGTCCTGACGAACCTTGTGGAACCTGTTTCTCATACCATGTTCAATAACAGACACTGGATATTCCAACAAGATTCGGCGCCAGCTCATAGAGCGAAGAGCACACAAGACTGGCTGGCGGCGCGTGAAATCGACTTCATCCGGCACGAAAAGACTGGCCCTCCTCCAGTCCAGATTACAAGATATGGCAACACTTGGAGGAAAAGGCGTGCTCAAAGCCTCATCTCAATTTGGAGTCACTCAAGACATCCTTGATTAAGGCAGCCGCCGATATTGACATGGACCTCGTTCGTGCTGCGATAGACGACTGGCCGCGCAGATTGAAGGCCTGTATTCAAAATCACGGAGGTCATTTTGAATAAACTTTAGTGTCATAAGAATCTATGTTTTGTTAAGTTCATTTTGGTATATAAATGGTTACATAATGAATAAACTTGTTTCAATTATTTTATATTAAACATGTGACAGAATTTATGACCTGACTAGGTATATACAAATCAAATGTTGTCTGTGAATTTTGATGTTTTTTTCTGTGTGTATTTGAATGGGTTTCTGGATGGTTTAAAAACTCAATTGGACCCGGTAGGTGGCGCTGTTGTTGAGATCCAGGAATCACCCAGTGCAGTGGCGGCGAATCGCTAGTCTATACAAATAAATAAAATTGAAGTGTCTGTTTGTAATGTCAAAATTACAGTTTTTTACTAAATGCATATGAAAGTAAATACGATACCTATAACTAAAATACAATTTTTAAAATTTTTGTCTGTCTGTCTGTCTGTTTGTTCCGGGTAATCTCCGAAACGGCTGGACCGATTTTGACGGGACTTTCACTGGCAGATAGCTGATTTCATAAGGAGTAACATAGGCTACTTTTATTTTAGAAAAAGAATCAGGGTTCCGCGCAGAAACATAAAAACACTAACACGCGAACGAAGTCGCGGGGAACAGCTAGTTTTAAATAAATCTATTAATACCTACACTTTAATAATGTAAATATTTAAAATTATTTGAAGAAATAATGAACTACCTGACCTGAAATACCTTTACAAAATCAATTTAAGTTTATGGAAAATTACAACACCAAAAATAATTTATTTCTTAGTACAATCAGCAATAAAGTGTGATAATAAAGCTAACAGTTGCGTACTAATATGGACTTTATGACTAGAATGATCAAGGTCGTATAAATTTCGTTCCGCGTGGTCACTGTTAATGTATTAGAGAAGGTTTTATTATAATATGCATTTTATGTACTTCAAAATGTAAACAAAATAAAAATGTTGAAAAATTATGTTTGTATTTAAGTTTCTCTTAATATATGTATATTTTAGCCTATTTGTACATTCCCATCAGGGGTGTACGATACAAAATTACGATTAACACGGAAAATGTAACATTCTTTGAGATAAGACATGTTTTGGATGAAAATAGAATAACTAATTGACAACATTACTTTCGATATGGCAACATGAGAGTTAATTTTGGCATTTTATTTTAACGCGGAATTGTGTCGGCAAAATAACTTCTTTGTTCAGTGCTCCAGATCTTTAGTATTTTTTTGTTTGAAATACTGAATATAGGTATATATATATATATATATAATATCTTTATAGTAACGTAATATTAATGGTTATAAAATGTAATATATCGTTTTTAACATGTTGGTCTAAACATTTATCTATAAAACTAACTTGGCAAAGTTACTTTGCCATGTATTGTTACAACTAAGTGTTGTCACTTTTCGGTCAAAACCTATATTCGGTTAAAAACCTATATTTTTAACCGACTACAACTATTTAAACAAAGTGTTCTGCACTTGACATTCTATGTTTGTATTGATGTTTCACCGTAGCATCCCATTAGACCGATTTTACCAAATGAGTCGTCAATCAATTAATTTTTATTAAAAGAGTTTATGAAAAGAATAGACAAATCTATTTTATTTTTACTGCGTGTATTGATATTAAGCAAAACATTATGTAATTGTCATTTTTAATGATTATTAATATTTTGCTATTGTGGGAAAACAATATTTTGATTGATTACAATAATTATGACCTGACATCATTTAACTACGACCCGTAATAAAATGATGATGATGACTAATAAAAAGACAAATACTTATTAAAAATGATTGTACATAGGCTGCACTAAAAGTATCGGGAATGGAATATTTCCACTGTTCCTGTCATATTAAAATCTTTTTAATTGAAAAGTCCTTGGTTTTTTAAAATTAAATACCATTTATTTATTTAAAAAAGATTCTCGGTCTTGTCACAAGGTTTTGTCAAACTTGTTTAGTCGTTGAGAAAATGGAATTGACTCGAGAAAATTCAAGAGCGATGATTTATTATGACTTTCGAAGTGGTTTAACACAAAAACAGTGTGTTGACCGGATTATTTCTGCATTTGGTGACGAAGCCCCATCTAAAACCACAATTTATCGCTGGTTTGCTGAATTTCAACGTGGACGTGTCAAGCTCAGTGATGTTCCCCGTCAAGGTCGTCCAAAAACTGCAGTCACCCAAGAAAACGTTGATGCTGTGCGTAAGCTGATTGAGGAAGATCGACATGTGACATACCGCGAAATTCAGGCAACTTTAGACATTGGCATGAGTCAAATACAAATAATCTTGCATGAACAATTAGGTATAAAAAAGTTGTTTTCCCGATGGATACCGCATTCGCTCTGTGAAGAGCAAAAAGCGGCTCGCGTTACTTGATGCGTCAGAACTCTCGAAAGATTCCACGCAGGATCCTCAAATGCTGTATACAACATCGTATCAGGTGACGAATCCTGAATATATGCGTACGAACCCGAAACAAAAAACTAGTCACGAGTTTGGGTGTTCGAAAATGAGTTAAAGCCAACAAAAATTGTTCGTTCACGCAGTGTTGCAAAAAAAAAATGGTGGCCACGTTTGTCTCCAAAACCGGCCATGTTACGACTATTCCTCTTGAGGGACTAAGAACGGTTAATGCAGAATGGTATGCTAGCATTTGTTTGCCACAGGTCGTTTCTGAACTCCGTAAAGAGAACTGCAACCGCCGCATCATCCTCCATCACGACAATGCGAGTTCTCACACCGCACACAGAACAAAAGAGTTTTTAGAGCAAGAAAACATAGAATTATTAAACCATCCGCCGTACAGCCCCGACCTAAGCCCTAATGATTTCTATACTTTCCCTAAAATAAACAATAAATTGCGTGGTACAAAACGGCCATTTCGGAGACTCCAACTTCCGAATGGAATGGTTGCTTCAATGATTGGTTCCATCGTATGGAAAAATGTGTCAAATTTCGCGGAGAATACTTCGAAAAGCAATAAATACATTTTTAAATAGTAATGTTGTGTCACTTCCTTGATTCCCGAAATTTTCAGTGCCGCCCTCGTAAACAGTAGCATTAAGCTGCTATTTTACGCTGGTATTTTGTCAGAGGTAGCTGCTGCCATCGTAGCGTGTGTACACGCTGGTGGCTGCCATAAACGCGTCGGCGACCAGCGTCGACACGCCAACGTTTAAGTTAGTAGTACCTAGTAGTTAAGTTAGTAGTACTAGTAACCTTAGTTCAAACTGGAACCACTAGCAAAATGTATTGCAAAGAAGCAACAATATTATTGCTTTACTCCATAGACACAAACAGAAAAGTAAAGAATGTTCATTGTGGGTGGATGAAATATTAAAATATAAAGAACAGCCAACATTTTACTCTCTATCAACTTATATGAACAAATTATATATTTTTTATCAATTATATCTGAACATCTATTATAGCTTTGTTTGATTAATTAACGGCTGTTTTAAATATCCATGCTCTGTTTTATTAATGCTATAATATTGTATGCAGAAATCAACAAATCAATGTCAATATTGGCTGGATCTTTTTTTTTTACGATAAGGATTTTGTGAACATATTATATATTTTTTATCAATTATATCTGAACATCTATTATAGCTTTGTTTGATTAATTAACGGCTGTTTTAAATATCCATGCTCTGTTTTATTATTTCTATAATATTGTACGCAGAAATCAACAAATCAATGTCAATATTGGCTGGATCCTTTTTTTTACGGTAAGGATTTTGTAAGTTCGCGCTCTTAGACTATTTTCAGTCAACTAAACATAATGACGCACATGGCACACAACAATTTCAAGCGTCACCAATGGGGGGAAGCAGCTGCGAACGCATCAGAGGTGCAGCAGCAGCATACATGTTCTAAATCGTCATGCTTGGTAGGCAAATTGATGATTCCAGTATTAGATGTCTCACACATTTAATGCATGATAAAATACAATTAAATATAGTTTTCACATACCTTCTAGCTCCTTTAGTTAGCTTTATATCCGCCTGTTGAGTCTTGACAATTTCATGCATTTCCTTTACGTCCTCACTGTAGTCAAGGAGCTCAGACTTCAACTCCTGAATACTTTCCTTTTCAAGTAGCAGAGACTTCTTTTGTTCAGCTGAAAAAAATTACAAAACTAGTCAAATGATCTACTGTAAGTGTCGAATTTAATATTAGACTTGCAACAAATAGTATATTCGGTCACATGCCGAATACCGAATATTTTGCAGGCTTTAATCGCCGAATATATTAATATAATATAATATTTATTCACATCATCTTTTTTTTGGAAGCTGGGTTTGTCTACAAGAAGAAAAGGAGCAAAATGAAATGCAGAAAATATTGTCTTTCTGTATGTGCATAGACAATTATTTGATAGATTTTTATTTTTTATAATAGAAATAGAGGAGTTGATTATGTACCTACTACTAATTATTATAGGAAAAATACATTAATATAAAATAAATCAATATTTTTAGTATTCGGCCGAATAGTACCTAGATAATCCGTATTCGACCGAATGGGATACAAGAGGTAAAATTAAATAAAATTGTACAACAGACTTCAACAACTCATAAACTACTGGTCAGACCTCAATTAAATTTATATGGAACCACATGAGAAGCACCAGATTTTAAATCAAAAAAGAATCACCAAAATTGGTCCATCTTGAAAAAAGTTATGAGATAACAAACATAAAAAAATACAGTCGAATTGAGTACCTCCTCCTTTTTGAAGTCCTTTAAAAAGGAGGCGAATAGTTTGAATACCGAAAAATAGCCGAATATTCGTTGCAAGTTTAGTTAATATGATTATAACTTATAGTACCTAATTTTTCTGCTATCTGTATGCAGCAAAAGAGAACTCATCACCCAATTTTGTTATATGTAGGCATGAACATCAAATCCATTGATCTTTTAACACTATTAAACTTCTATTAATCAAATATTTGAAATTGTTAATTTCGGGTGTAACTAGTTCTTGAATTAACAAGAAAATGAAACATATTCACTCAAACTCCAATTCAACACTCAAATTCATCCAACGAATATGTGAGAAAATGTACAAAAAAAAAGGTTGGCAGTATTGATTGCACGCCAGGTTTGAGTTAATTTGCAGTACAGCTTTTGAGATCATGTTTCATAAAGTCAAAGTCATTATTGTACCTATTACTGAAATTATATAAAGTATGTTTAATGATTTCTTATATTTATACATATTCTTATATCATCATCATCATTACAGCCCTTCCTAAGTCCACTGCTAAACATAGGCCTCCCCCAAGGAATGCCACAAAGCACGGTCCTGATGGCTACCTGCATCCATCCATCCATCCATTCATTCTTATATAATACCAATTGAATAAATCTAATTTTACAGATTTTATTGCGTTTTTTTTTAATTCCCGAAGTTTAATAAAATATAAAGTATAATTATTGGTTAGCATTTCAAATTGATTCTAAAATAACATCAAAAAAGAAATAAGAACTTGTTGGCCACCATGAATCTGAAGTAGACAATTTCAGCTAGTAAATCAACTGGTTGCCAAACAAAACTGAATGGTTATTTAGTATTAAGAAAAAAACCGTCAACGACATATCGCTAGTTGCATGGGTGTTTGAAAAATTGACTACGGGAAGTTTTGGTGCTGACACCCATTTGTGCTATAATTTCTTTCGCTAACAGTAGTTTATTTACTGGTATGTTTGAGTTTGAAGTACATGTAGAGATAGTATAAGTATTCCATTTTTATTCCCTAAAGGTTGCAGATGTCCACGAAATGCAGTAACCATCAGGTGGACTGTTACTAGCTTGTCATGTTAATGTTTAAAAGAATTTGTGGCATTTTAAGTGATGTGCACAAAGAAATCTATGTCACATATATTAACTAAAGCTATCTAGTGAAGCCAAGTCTAGTGTAATGGACTAACTGTACATCAGATGAAAATTTAAAATATATAAGTTGGACTAGCTGATACCCAATTACTTCACTGGGCACACAATAATATTTTATTGCAGAACCTTTTAAATTTTTTATTTGATGGGACAACAGTAAAATCCGTTCTTAGTGACTGTCTGCATTGCAAAATAAGTAACTATACTAAATTTCAAGTAAATTGGATGTATAATTGTAGACATCTCGTGATTCAGTCAGTATATCCTTTGTCATTTGAAATTAAGTTAAAATTATACAAAAAACTCTGCAAAAATGGAGACTAGAGTCTAGTCACTAGACAGAATATTAAAGAAACATCACTAAATACATTAAGTAAAGTTTTCTAATTTGTAAATAACAATGACATCAGTGCTATTTATTTTAGCTTACAAGTATTCATAAACATGAACTACCTTGACATGGGGAGTCAAAAACTTGGCACATGTTCAAAATATCTTACCTAATTTCTCTAAAGCATCCTCAATTACTTCCATGTCTTTGCCAGACAAACCTTCATCAGATTTTGGTTTGGGAGCATCCACTGCAATAACTGGAGCAGGATCTACCATCACTGGTGTATTCTCCGCATCAATAATAATGGCCTTGTCCTTGAGCTCTTCTTTCTCTCTCTTCTTTGCTTCAAGCAACTGTTTTTCTCGCTCTGCCTCTTGTGTCTCTTTCATTTCTTCTTTAATCTTCTCTTCTTCCAATTTAATTGCTTCCGCTTTAGCCTAGTAATATTAATTACAATTATAGTATAAAAGAAATGACAACAGAAAATAATTTAACAAACTGTTTAACTTTTTTAAAACATACCTTGAAGTCAACTTTTCCTTCCTTTTCACTTATAGCAGCTTTAGTTTGTGTGACTACTTGTTCAGGTAATGCTGATATGGTGGCCTTGAGTTTGTATGTTGTGGGCACATGTTCTGGTACCATTAGAGCTCTTGATAGTAGCAGTAAGGATGGTGGTACTTTCTCATTTAATGACAAATCAAGCCAATTCCTCAATTCTTTTCTCAACCTCTCTTCAGATACACCATATGCTCTCATACCTCGTGCCCGACACGCTTGCTGCAATTCGCTAAAATTCAAACTGTCAACACCTTCCTTAGCAATCATTTTATCATCAGCTGCTAAAGATCGTAATTTCATTTTCAAATTGAATCGTAGCATAGCACTTGTGCCTATAGTTGAAACATCTAAAACCTTACATAAAGCAACCAAATGAGGCCTTTGTAGAGAGTCTAATGTAATTTCGTCTTCAAACAATTTAGAAAATTTCATGATCTCCTCACTGGTTGCAACATCACCCGATGTACGGATCCTGCTGAAGAAATTTGAAAATTCTTTGGCTAGTTCAGAATGTCTATTGCTAGCTTGCGGTGCCATTTGATCTAAGGTCTCTTGAAAAAATTTTGCCATTTCCAGCTTAACCTTTAAATGCTTCTTAAGCTTTGCCTCTTTTTGACTACTGCTTTCAAACGTGGATGGCAGCATATTGGGAAACAATTTTATAAATACAGGCAGTGCAAACTCTAAGAATGGGACAGCTATGAACACAATAAAAGGTACCATTCTAAACAGGTCTCCAATTGTTGTAACTAACAATCTGTGCTCACGTCTTGTGAGGGAATGACCTTTTAATATTCGAAATAGCAATGATGTAGATATTCTTATTTCTATGAACAAAAGCCTGAAACCATGGTAGTAATGCTTTAATTCATCCTTGATGCGCTCCTTTATACTTTTCTTGACTACTTCCTTCTTAGGCAATTTCTCTTTTTCTTCAATTTCTTTCTTAAGATTGACCACTGTAGCTTCAACTTTTGAGGAGGGCTTTAAGGGTTCTTTTTCATAGCAGCAATTTGTTGTGGATATGAATCTACCACAAGGTGGATAGTCAAAGTGAATTTGTGAGTTGAGAGGTTTCTGTGTAACATCATGCTGCAATCTGAGTGGATGAGTTGTGTAATATGACAGTGACCTTGAAAGAGTAATGTAAGGTATATTTTGAAACTGTTTGTTCTCCCATAGAATACCTGCAACAAAACATAACGTATGTATTAACTTTATTTCTTAAAATTATAACAATTAGTTGAAATACCTAATATTATGAAAACAAAGAAGTCGATGGAAACAACAGTTAATTGTTAAATAACAAATATACTGATGAACTATCTTACTACTGCTCGTTAAAATTAATATATTTTTGTACTTATAGGTGCAGAATCATTATCTAGTAAATTACTACATATAATAAAAAAGTATGTAGTATATAAAAATCAATTATATTTGTTTTGACGCCGTCGGGCCTCAAACTGCACCATCGTAATTTTTTCATGATTCGGGTTTTTAATTTCAAGATTTTTTTTCTTAATGGGTACTAATTTTGCTACCGAAATCAATGAAGTCATAGGATAATCAATCAAGTAGGTAGTTCTCATTTCATATAGGTTATCTAAATTAAGAGTTTATTCTTTCTGTAAGAACGATATTATTAATCTTACTTGATCTTTTTAAACACCGGTAATGGTTTAAAATTATTCTGTTCATATTGTACTTTTAACTTTTTTACAAGATTACACTTTAAAAATTATAAACAAAATTAACTTTAACCACCATGACATACATACAAAAACATAGATTATATTATTCCCTATATAACAGTGTAGTCTTTGATTAATATAATGTATAGATTTAGAGATAGTGACGAGCAGTTTCGTAACCTATTTCAGCAACACGTAGCGTCGAAAATATAACCTTAAGCTGTTGGGACAAATCGCGCATTAGGTTATTTATAAACTGAAATAACTGCTTTGTGCTTTCGCTAATTGCCGAATATGTTAGCATTGCTACATAAGGATCGGTTTTTTATTTATTTTCATTATTATACAAAGATATTATGAATAAAATTATTAAATAATAATAATAATGTATTTATTTACTCTCACAATTTAAGTTAACAAGGTAGAATATAAACAATGTACACTATGGGCTGAGAGTCTGGTGTCTTTACTAGGCGGAAGCCTGTCTTACGGATTACCAGGGTCACCCCCTCAGGATACTATCATCATAACTTAACATGCTTTTGTATGATTAACTAATGAGACATGATATTGTATTATTAGTTACTTTTGTGATGCGCGCGCGCGATCAGTATTAAAGTTGTGTTTATGAAATAAGGAGGTTTTCAGTGATCTCATAGTCCAGACTTAACAACCATTGGGTAACTTTTAATTTGCAAGTATTTCTGTTAAGTGGATATATACCGATTCTAGCGTTTGTTTTATTATATAGATAATTACCAAGAAACATAAAGAATTTATGTAAAAATTTGGTGTAATGCGTGTTGTAGTAACAGACTAGATAATTTCTGCGCCTATCTTTTATCAATTGTGAATTATACTATAAGAGTGAGTGTTTTTTAATGATACATTGTAGAACAAAGAACTGCCTGACAGATAGGACTTTCCAACGCTTGTATAAGTCTACAATAGGGTAAAGAAAGGGAAGTGAGGTGAATACTTTTAGTATAGCTCTCTGTGCTAAGCACCCCAGGATGTTATGCAGTATGTGATAATCGATTAACATAAGGCAAAGTAAACTATTTTGATGACTTTTAAGACAGCTATGTGCCTAAGGTTTTTATAAATGTATATTAACTTTCTTACTCTAGTTGTTAACATGTCTATGTGGCTTTGAAAACTGAGTTTGTTATTAATAATTACTCCAAGATATTTCATATCATCTACTACAAATATTTTCCCGACAAAAGATACTTACTTACTTATCTTCACGCACAATCCCTGACGGGGTAGCCAGAGAGAACAGATCGCCAAGTGTCACGATCCTTACAAACCTCTTTCGCTTCTTTCAGATTCATTATCTTCTTCATGCATGCACGTCTAGGTATCCGAGTACTTTTGACCCTACCCTCTTCGAGCAATTTGCTCACATGGTCTTCGAAAGTTAGTCTCGGTCTACCTCGACACCTTTTAATATTAACATTCGCGCTATATATTTTCTTCACCATTCGGTCTTCACTCATTCGCTCAACGTGCCCAAATCACCGAAGCACGCCCTTATCAATTTTTGTGATAAGGTTATCTTTCAAACCTGCCATATTGCGAATCTCTTCGTTTCGCTTTCGGTCGGCCATAAAAGATATTTTCCAATTATCCGCGTAATATAACGTTATAACGAGATACCATTATTAGCGGGTTTTCGCTATCGGTACTGCGTATGTTGACGGTACGGGCTAAATAAGCCACCATTTCTAATCCCATTCTTTATTCGTATGTACTGTAGCACTGCTAGCCACAGACCTCCTCTAATTTCTGAGAGGTTTTAAATGCAAAGAAATGTCCGCCGCACTGCCCCAATGCGTGTTGGTGAACTTCACATATCTTATTTCTTAGACATGCAGGTTTCCTCAAGATGATTGCAGTTAACAATTTCATTGGTGCTAGTGGGGATTAAACCCGGGTTACTTGCGTACTGTGAAATTCACAGCGAGCGGTTAGCTATTGAGCTACTACGGCTCAACTTTCATTACCAACAAATATTTTATCTTCTCATTGCTTTCATTTCATTACCAAACAGCTAACTAGTTACGATACAAAACATCTAATAGTTATTATGATTTGATTTAATATTACAGTTATTAAAAACCTCTTACAGAAACCTCTTGTTGCAACAGATTTCATTAAAAATATATCTGTTTGCTTCTTTGCGTTAAAGCAGTAATAGCGCCAGTCTCTTTTAGTATAAGAGCTTGGCACTTAGATTATACACTTAGAGCATACATAAGCAAGCTCAAAATCACCACAAATTTGCTACATCAGCTTACTAATCCCTTGGACTATCACTCTAGCTATTCTGTGGATATCCTCATTTCTAAGTTTATCACGCAAAGCAACCTCGAGCATAGCCCTCTCCGTAGCTTGAGCGTCCTCATGAGGCCAGCAGTAAAGGACCATGTCTCAGATCCATACGTGATCAATGGCAACACACACTGGTTGTACAATCTCGATTTCATGTTTGGGGTATACCTGACGAGAAGATTTGTTGTAATTTCCAGAACGCTGCCCAGCCGAGTTAAATCCGCCGATTTACTCTCGGTCGAAGTTGGGCGTACCTAGTCGGACTATTTGTCCCAGGTAAACATAGGTACTTGTCAACAATTTCAAGCTTAGTGCTTCCAACAACTACCGGCGTAGGTATGACAACGACATTACACATGCTCTTTGTTTTATCCATGTTCAACTCAAGACTTATCCGTTGGGAGGCACTATTGAGGTCATTGAGCATAGTGCTTAGGTCCTCCAGCGATTCTGCCATAAGGACTATATCGTCGGCAAATCCAAGGTGAGTGATGTACTCGCCATTGACGTTAATACCGTATCCTTTCCAGTCCAGTAACTTAAAAACGTCTTCCAATGCAGCGGTGAAGAGTTTCAGGAATATAACGTCGGCCTGTCTTACACCTCTCTGCAGTTGGATAGGTTTCGTACTCTGGTTCTGTACTCGGATAGCCATCATAGCCCTACTGTTCAAACACTTCAGCACTTCGATATACCCACAGTCAACTTGGCAACGCTGAAGGGACTGTAGTACCGCCCAAACTTCTACGGAATGAAAGGCTTTCTTATAGTCCACATACGCCAAACATAGTAGTAAATTGTACTCCTCGGATTTTTGATATGTATGTAGTCTATGGTGCTAAAGCCTTTTTGGAAACCGGCTTGTTCGGGAGGCTGGAAGTCGTCGAGTCTGCATGCGAGACGATTCGTAAAACTCTCGAAAACAGCACGTAGACGCGGCTCAGAAAGGAGTTCTTCAAGAGAGCGTTGTCGCCTTTCTTGAAGAACAAGACCACCGCATATCTGCTCCACGCCTCCGTAGTAGTCCCACCATGGTGAACGGAATTAAAGAGCTTCTGAAGGACTTCAAGTACTGGTTTTCCATCTGCTTTCAGAAGCTTTGTTTTAATTCCATCCTCGTCTGGCCTTGCCGATTTCAAGGTGTTGGAGAGCCATTCTAATCTCGCTCAGACTGACGTCCGGGATAGCATCGGAATAGTGTCGGATCTAAGACGTGCTCTTGGATCTTTACTCTTACTTGCGTGTGGCTTCAACGATAACGTGTGCAGCCGCCAATAAAACCTCCGATTCTCACTCAAAATCTCAGGTGTCCCGGAAATGATGCTGCCACACTCGGTCTTCAGCTTCAACAGTTGGCTATTTTTGGCAGACAGATCTCAGGCAAAGACTTTGGAGCGTTGGTTCCGCTCGATCGCTTCTACAATACGAGCTGTATTAAAGCTGCGTAAGTCCCGCCACATGCATTAGGAGATCATCGGGAAAGCGTACCATAATATATTTGCGACGCATTGCTATCGATATGTTTATTATATTTTCTAGTATTTTATATTGTAACGCACGCATATTTGCGCCATCCGTCATTTGTGCATATGAGGATGATCCTCTTTCGCCTGCATCAGAAGTGAGATGAAGTTCCTGTTATAACCCACATATAATCTTAGAATAATGTGATGAAGGTGTGGTGCTGTGCCGCTCGCTCTTGTTGAAAGAATGGAAAAGAGATATGGAATGTAAGTATGCTGATAATAAAAACTTTATTGTCCAATGTGAGGAAGGTTAATATGTAACAATGAAGAAAATTAAGATTATAACAACGTGAATGTCTTTGAAACGCAGATAATTTACCTACTTACCATTTTCACCGATTTCAAAAAAAGGAGGAGGTACTCGATTCTACTGTATTTCTTTTATGTGTGTTACCTCAGAACTTTCTTCTAGGTGAATCGATTTGGATGATTCTATTTTTATTTGAAACCTGGTGCTTATAATTTATACATCCCATTTAAATCTGATCAAGATCTGACCAGTAGTTTTTGAGTTATCCTTAATAATGCCTATTAATATTGAAGTCGGTTGTACAATATATTTAATTTCATTAATTGTCTCTCTTCCTCTTTTTAAAAAACCTTACCTCCACACTAAGATTTTGTCCTGTATCGCAGGGACAGCTTACATACATAAAACAGACCCAGAACCATTATTTGTAGGCCATACAAATAATTGTTCCGTCCGGGATTCAAACCCGCGGCCCTTAGCGCTGCAACTCATTATTAAACCACTGCGCCACGGAGGCATCACTTGTCTGTTTCACATTTTTTGATATTTACAAACATGCGACACGCGACTTCATTATTAATGAAAGAATGGCAACGAGAAGTGCTGCTACTTCCAACCAATTACTATAACTATAATTTATAATATAGTGCACTAAACGATATTTTAAGGTCATTGGCATTATACGCGAAAAGATCGAAAACTGCGACGCTGTGGTCGGGTCACTAATCAAATCATAAATCTGTAACTATGGCATCAGTAACTAAGTACCTAAGTATCTAGATCTACCTATAAATAATAATATATTACCTTTCGGTATCCTTAGGAACAGTAAAGAATGATAAGACGATATTCCTATTGTTATTTAAGCACCCGTATGCTATGCAGTACCTTTAG